AAACTCAATTTCATCGGGAAGTTAAAAATAATTCAGTGTGATAACGGTAGAGAATATGTCAATGGCCCCTTTCAAAAACTCTGTGAAGCAAATGGAATTTCATTTCGTTTCTCGTGTCCTCATACTTCTTCTCAAAATGGCAAAGCTGAACGAAAAATCCGTTCTATTAATAATATAATTCGGATTTTACTAGTTCATGCTTCTTTACCGCCAAATTTTTGGCACCATGCTCTCCAAATAGCAACTTATCTACTAAATATTTTACCAAATAAAAAGTTGAAATATCAATCACCTCTCAAAATTCTTTTTCAAAAAGATCCATCCTACACCCATCTACGAGTCTTCGGTTGTTTATGTTACCCTCTCTTTCCATCAACCACTATAAATAAACTCCAATCTCGTTCCACCCCATGTGTCTTCTTAGGATATCCTTCAAATCATCGTGGGTACAAATGCTATGACCTATCCCTAAATAAAATCATTATTTGTCGCCATGTCATATTTAATGAATCTGAATTCCCTTTCTCAAAGCTGCACACTCTTAATCCAAACGATTATCAATTTCTTGATAATGAAGTGTCACCTTACATAAATCACCTTATCACAGAAACTAGCCCAGGTCCAAGGACACCAAACATCACTCAACAAAACTATCTACCACCTACTCAACTAAGACCGGCCCCAACTTCCCCCGCGTTTCGGCCACAACCCCAACCTAACCAAACACACCAAACTGAAATACCTACCTCTCAACTGAACCAAACTTTGCCTTCCACCTCTACTCCACCAAATATACCATTTCCTGCTATTTACCAACCTACCATTAGTTCTGACAACAAACCTGTTACGAGGAGCCAACATGGCATTTTTAAACCTAACCAAAAATACATTAATCTTCACACCGAAGTCACAAAATCCCCTCTCCCTCGTAACCATGTGTTAGCATTAAACGATCCGAATTGGAAAATGGCTATGGATGATGAATACAATGCTCTTATTCAAAATAAGACGTGGGATTTAGTGCCCCGTCCACCTGATGCAAATGTTATTCGTTCTATGTGGATTTTTAGACATAAAGAAAAATATGATGGTTCTTTTGAGAGGCATAAAGCCCGACTTGTAGGTAACGGTGCAGGTCAACAGGTTGGCATAGATTGTGGAGAGACCTTTAGTCCGGTTGTCAAACCAGCCACCATCCGAACAGTACTCAGTATTTCCTTATCTAAAGCATGGAAAATTCATCAGTTAGACGTCAAGAATGCTTTTCTACATGGTGAACTCAAAGAAACAGTGTATATGCATCAACCTTTGGACTTTAAAGATCCAAATTTTCCTCATCATGTCTGTCGTTTGCGAAAATCTTTGTATGGGCTCAAGCAAGCTCTAAGAGCGTGGTACAAACGATTTGCAGATTATGTATGTTCTATCGGATTCTCTCAAAGCAAGTCATTCAACTCTCTTTTCATCTACCAGAAAGATACACACATGGCCTATCTGCTTCTTTATGTGGACGACATCATTCTCACTTCGTCTTCTAATGATCTTCGCAAGTCTATAATATCGCGACTCAGCTTTAAATTTGCTATGAAAGACCTGGGACCACTAAGTTATTTTTTGGGTATTGCAGTTACTCGGCATAATGGTGGCTTGTTCTTATCTCAGAAAAAATATGTAGATGGATTTCTAGAACGAGCAGGCATGTCATCATGCAAATCATGTCCAACTCCGGTTGACACTAAACCGAAGCTTAGCGCCAAGACTGACACTCCCTATGAAGACTCATCATTATACCGTAGCCTTGCCGGTGCTCTCCAATACCTCACTTTCACGAGATCCGACATCACATATGCGGTACAACAAATATGTCTTTTTATGCATGACCCCATGGACGATCACATGCACTCTCTTCGCCGCATTTTACGTTATATCCAGGGAACCAGTCACTATGGCTTACATCTCTATCCATCACCCACTACATTGTTGATCTCTTACACTGACGCGGATTGGGGAGGATGTCCCGACACTAGACGCTCTACCTCTGGTTATTGTGTTTTTCTTGGAGAGAACTTACTATCATGGTCGTCCAAACGTCAACCCACATTGTCTCGATCCAGTGCTGAAGCTGAATATCGTGGAGTTGCCAATGTCGTCTATGAGTCATGCTGGTTACGTAACCTTCTTCTCGAACTTCATTGTCCGATACACAAAGCTACTATGGTATATTGTGATAACGTTAGTGCCATATATCTTTCCGGTAATCCTGTTCAACATCAACGTACAAAACATATTGAGATGGACATTCACTTTGTACGTGAAAAAGTAGCTCGTGGACAGATACGCGTCCTGCATGTTCCCTCACGCTATCAAATTGCAGATATATTCACCAAGGGTCTTCCCCTAATACTCTTTCAAGATTTCCGAGACAGTTTAAGCGTACGCCAACCTCCCGCTTCAACTGCGGGGGTGTGACAGAACATGACAGCATACATTCTATAGTTGAAATAAATATTGTACACTAATGAGATAAAAGTAAAATAATATTTATATTAATTAGGCATAATTAGACATGATTAGTTTTCCAATTGTGGAATTGTAATTCCTGTATATATCACATGTTAATGATCAATACCAGGCACAAAAATATTTTCCTATAGTTCGCCTTCTGGCGTCCCAAGGGGTGAAGGTTTTAACCTCATGAAGTTCATAAGGATTCTACCAAATCCCATCAATCGAATCACGTTTTTGAAAAATACGAGACATTTAAGTCATACAAGTAAAGAAATCTATTCATTGATAAAAAAAAGAAAAAACATGAATAGTGATTGCATTTCTGATAAAATAGAATCCTGGATCGCGAATAGTGATTTAATTGCTGATAAAGAAAGATAATTCTTGCTTACTTTCTCTACCTTAACGACAGAAAAAAAGGATGGATCAAATTTTAGTGAGTCTTACTAATAATGATGAGTTATCAAAGAATAACTCTGGTTATCAAATGATTGAACAACCGGGAACAATTTACTTACGATATTTAATTGACATTCATAAAAAGGATCTAATGAATTATGAGTTCAATACATCCTGCTTAGCAGAAAGACGGGTATTCCTCGCTCATTATCAGACAATCACTTATTCAAAAATCCCGTGTAGGGCTAGCTGTTTGGATTTCCCATCTCATGAGAAACCCTTTTCGCTACGCTTATCCCTATCCCCTTCTAGGGGTATTTTAGTGATAGGTTCTATAATAACTGGACAATCCTATTTGCTCAAATCTCTAGCGACAACCTCCTATGTTCCTTTCATTACAGTATTTGTAAACAAGTTCCTGGAGAACTTTCCTAGGGGTTTTGATACGAGTTATGATGAGGACGATCTTTTTGATCAAAGAGAGGGTACCATTTACAGTCTTTTACCGGATTACGAGGGTAGTTGCTATAATCCAGAGAATTATGAAAGGGATCATAGCGACGATTTCGACCGTAAGCTTGATAGCCGATTGAAGTTTCTAAGTATGGAGGATCCGGTATCTAGCGATATCATACCGGAAAAGGAACTAGACCGGTTTTATCTCACAATTCAATTGGAATTAGTAAAAGCAATGTCTCCTTGCATAATTTGGATTCCAAACATTCATGATTTCGATAGGAAGGAGTCGAATGACTTATCGCTAGGTATATTAGTGAACTCTCTTTCCAGAGATTCTGAAAAAAGGTTCTACTAGCAATAATCTTGTTATTGCTTCTACTCATATTCCAGAAAAAGTAGACACTTGTTTAATAGGGACGGATAAATTAAATACATGCATTAAGGTACGAAGGCTTCTTATTCCACAACAAAGAAAGCACTTTTTAACTCTTTCATATACTTATGAAGTCCTTGCTATTTTTTAAAATTTTGAAAATTATATAATTATTCTTAAATTTTTAAATTTTGAATAATTTTTTTATATGTGTTCAAATTATTATAAAATATTTCTTTATCAAATTATATAATTTAAAAAAAAAAAAAAATTAAATATAAAATTTTTAAATTGTAAAAGATAATAATAAAAGAAATAAAAATCTCGACTAACGTTGTAAACATATTTGTAAAATGATAATTCAAAAATAACATTATTCTAACAGTAAAAACTAAAACTACGTGCATAATTATTTTATAGAAAGTAAAACACGCTATTTTTTATAAGAGAAAAAAAAATTCAATAATTTTATAGAGACAAAAAAACATATTTATCCTTTATTATTATTTTTTTTCTAATTACCATGGCACAATCATTTCTGACTTGGCAAGTATTAAATGTCATTACTTGATCATTAGTATAAATTTAAAATTTAGTGCATTGGAGGTCATTGTTACACTAAGGTCGGTATTTTATTACATTGGAAGGATATTGACTCTTAAGCATTTGGTGTTACTGGTTGTCGCAACTATTCTTAACATTTGAAAGCTAATGTTGGCATTTGAGCTTGAAAAAAAGAGAGGTCACAAGAATTTCATTTAATGATTCAAAATTCATTCACTTGATTCATACTTAATCTAATTACTCATTTGTTTCTCTTTCATTGTGAACTGTGAGAGCTCACACTTTACTCTCATGTGAGAGGATACATTCATTGTCTAGTTCTATAACTAGACAACACTAAGTTGTTGGTCAAAAGAATATGCACAAAATTTTTCATTTCAGAATTAATTTTGCACAGGAAACTTTCATATTGATTTTTACAACAGGTTTTATCTTTATAATATTGATGATATGGTTTTGAAAGCATGCAAAACAACCCTTCTGCTATGAGCAAAAGTCGAATTTAAGTAAATTTTAAGGAAATTTTTGTAATAGCAGAGTGCAAACATAAATATAAAATCATCCACTCTTCAGTAGTTCAACATTCGGTCAATATTTTGACATTAATTGGTTCAAAATAGAATCATAAATGACTCAACTACTTCATACTAACTATAGATAACAACACTGTTTAGCACCGAAGGAGCTTGAATATTGATCAATATTTTGGAGCTGCATGTTGGGTTGGTAACAGTCCAAATCGCTTCTTCAAAAGAATTCTCTGCCTTGAAAATTTGTCATCAGGAGAAAACCGGGCTGCAGTTTCAGGAAAATTGAAGAAAAATCACTTATATGTATAGGAAATTGGAGTGTGAATTCTAAATAATATTGGACAGTATTTGTCAATTTGTCAGTGAGAGAACATGATAATGTCATTTATTTAGTGTAACGGGATTTACAACAAAACATTATAATGCCATTTATTCAGTGTAACATGATTTACCACAGACATTATAATGCAGTTTATTCACTGTAAGAAGATATTACAAAACATTCTAATGCTATTTACTTGGCGTTTCCTTCTAATATACATCAAACACAATTTTCATCCAAAAGAATAAGGCAAAAAGAACAAGGACCAATTTGATTAGCTTTCTGAATTAAAAGTATGGTTGATAAAATTATAGAAGTGTGTGGACGAGTTAAACCAAAGAGGTCCATAAACATTGAGATGCAATGCAGTAACTAATTACAAAGAGAAGTTTTTCACTGAAGTGGTAATTATTGCAAGATACCATTGTTGTCGATGGCAGAGATCCAAAATCCCACCTAACTAGCCACTTGCGGAGCCAGTATAGCGGAAAAATCCACAATATCGGCTGATATTTACCATTGCGGTAAGCTCAAAACCGCCTCATATATCCGCAATTGTGACCATGGAACCACTATTTGATAACACCGCAGGATAGTTTTCATAAACACTTCTTAAGAAAATTTTCTAAGTTGGCCCTTGATTTAACAGAGTGGTCTTAATTTTCCAACAACAAAAATTTATTAAAGCACAAAGTGGTCTTAAAATCCATGTTACAAAAAAAAAATTAAAAATATAAACTCAACTAAAATCTACAAACAGTACAACAGAACAATGCTGAAATAAAAAATAAAGAACCGATAGGAAGAAAAGCACTTCATAATCACTTATTTACTCACATGAATTGAAAGGCATGATAAGAAATAAAAGCAATAAACCTAAACTGAGTGTAACAAATTACCAGGATGAGCGGATTGAGTAGCTAACCCAACTGGCGACTCTTTCTGCAAACGAGAATCAAAACAAAAAGCGTCAATTTTATTGAAATAAACAACGAATACGATAATAAAAACATTAGAGAGTTTGATAGAAGATTCAATTGGGATAAAGTTTACCTTTGTAGTGTAGACTTTGTCACCGTTATCGTTGATGTAAAACTGAAGATACATGATTCAATGAAAACTTGTGTTGCTGCAGAAAACCTTGTTGAAAAACAGAAGAAAAAGAAAAGGAGGCGTGGAAAAGGCGAATGAAAAAGGTTTAGGGTTTAGTTTCGTGATGATTCGAATTTGGATTGATATGATGTGTTTGTGGGCTTTGTTTTGTAATGGGCCGTGGGCATATTTCATATAGGCCCAACTCCATTTCTGAAACTATCTTACATACCTTCTTTTCTTCTACCTTGCTAGTTGCTACTACTATCATTTAAAATTTTCAATTTACTTTATTTTTCATATATTTTAGTTAAATATGTTTTAATAAGATTACCAATTAATTTGTATTAAAATCTGAGTTAAAGGAGTAGAATTTTGGTAATACTGTAAAATTTGATGCATTGACCCAGACGAAGACTATTAGCTACTGATGATACCAGTTCAGTTGCACCAGAAACACACTGACTCACTCGCGCTCTGATCAGTGGAACAAGTCGCGTATCTCATAATTCTCGATCTCATTTCTCAAATCCCTAACCTATCGTAAATGCGATTTGCATTCTCTGATTCATAGTTGCATAAATGGCCAGAAACCTAGCCAAATTCCTCTTACTGTTTTACACCATTTCGATCTGCAACGCCGTCACGAATCCAAGTCCAATCTCCGATTCTCACCGTTCCGCCGCTTTACAACTCTTCGATGGATCCTCTTCAAGGTCAATTCAACTCTCTCCAAACTCTTCTTTGTTTGAACTGTAACATTCTATTGTAAGAATATTATTTAGATAACAGAAGATTATTATGGGTTTGTTATCAATTAATATTTTAGGTTTGCAATACTTTGTTGAAATTATTTAGGTTAGATGATTATGTAAGAAAACTTATTTTTGTTCTTGTTATCTTATCAGTTTAGAAGAAGCCTATGAGGCTCTAAGAGTATTTGAGATACTTGCACTTGAGAATAAGCCTGATGTGAGTGAAACCACTTGTCGGAAGGTTGTGGAAAATCTTGGACCGTCATCCTCTTTGAAGGATTTGTTCTATGCCTTAAAGGTCAATGGCATTTTAAAATGCAAGGTTGATAGGGGTGTTTTCCAGGTAATTTTATGCTATGGTATTATTTTAATGCGTAGTCGAGGCTCGATTGTCGATGCTTTTGTTGTGTTTTTAAATTCTTGATGCTAGAAATTCCTTATTTTGTAAAGGATATTGCTTCAAGACTTAAAGCTACTGTCAATGATGCAAGTGCTTTGGTTGACATGTACTATACAATAGGAAGTTTGGTTCTTATAAAGGTAATTCTCTCGACTTTACTCCATTTGGTTCTTGATCTGGTAAAGCTTAGTGGGCTGCTAAACGGGCTTTAATTGGAATGGGTGCTGGTGCACCGTGGAAGGTTATTTTCTTGCCCATTCAGCTCTTGGTCATAATAAATTTGTCTCTCATCCTGTTTATCTAGTTGATAAGCGAAATTCTTCTGACACTTCTAGTATTATTCTCCCAATATGTCAGTTTTTTAGAATGTTATTTTACATTTTTACTAGATGAAGTATCTCCTCTTTTCAGTGCTATGTTTTTATTTGATTTTATATTGTAACTTGCAAATTCAAATATCATATATTATGTTCCATTATGACTCTTTCTCCTTTTGGTCTCCCCTTTCTCTGTTGACAGGATCAGGCACCTGATGTTGATGCGCTTCTTGCTGATACTGATGGGACATTCCATTCAATCAAGGTCTGTTTTCATTATCTTTGGTATTGAGTATTATGGGGACTTTGTTTGCTTTGCAATAAATATCATTTTGGTCCCATCAAAGTGCCAATAGAAGATTCAGTATAAGAACTACACCCTTTCTAGTTTTATTCGTTTTACTTCATAAATTACATAAGCTTTTGGTTGCTTCAATTGCAATTCAAACTCTCATGTTCATTGTGATGCAATGTTCTTCGGTATTGGCAGGCTTTGAGCCAAAGTGATGGAAGATGGCGCTACAGTTCTGATATTCCAGAATCTAGTACCTATGCTGCTGGTAATGATTTATATGGCAATATGTCGAGGTTCAAGCTCTTTCTATGTAATTTTTTTTTTGGCACTGAAACTGCAACATAGAATCCCTCGAACTGTTGCTGTTTATCTATATTTACAAATTAAGCTACTCGTGTATTTTACAGGATTAGCACTTGAAGCACTGTCTGGAGTCATCTCATTAGCATCTTCTGAAATTGATCAGTCTAGGGTAATGTTCTGACTCTGAAATTGGTTAGTTGTTTTGCTTCAGTATTTTAAACTTAAAAGGTTGTTTAATTGAAAATTCTATATGTTGTCAGCATATTCATATTAGTTTAATTATTTGCACTATAGTAGTATGGTACACAAGATTCTTGTCAAGATTTTTTCATTAGAATGTTTTTAAACCAATAAAATACCTCCTTGGGATTGTTAAATAAAAGTGAATAGAAGTGGGCGCTAAGTGATGAAAAAAATTAACGCTGAAAAATCTGATGCTCAATTTATTAGCACTTTGCTTTTCTTGCAATACATCTATTTACATGCTTTTTTTGTTTATGATGCATCATAGAAACATACCTTGTCTTGGGCTTCCTTGTATTTCTATCAATATATTAAATTAGCTCTTTATTGTCAGGTAAATACGGTGAAAAGTGATATATCGAAGCTCTTTGACAGCATCCAGAAATATGGTAATTTTACCTTGTTTAAATTTGTAACTGTGAATGTTCATGTATAATTTTGGAATTCTTCACACATGTGTGGCAGCATGGTAACCTTTAATAGAGTTTTTTATTCTTTTTTTAGAAATGGTACATTATAAATATCTCCCTGTACTAGACTGCCAGTGCATTTTATGCTTTGTTACTTTTGTGTTCTTTTATGTGTGATTTTCTTTATTTATGAGTTGACTGCCTTGCAAATTCGCAATCACCTCATTGGAGAGGTATCCTTAGTTTCACTTTTCTTCTGTTAAAAAATATTAAATATTTTTGTTTTAACATTACTGAAAATTTTCATTTGGTGCTACAGATATTTCTTTGTAGGGTTCAATTCAGTTGATTTCTTTTTCAGTTGCATATAATGATTCTAGAAGATTAAAATATTTTTCATAATATCATGATATTATCTTGAAGTATCTTGATTTATCTCATCTGGTTTTTTTAATCTAGTATATTTGATTATTTCTTAATAGTGTCCCTACTTCTCAGTTATTAACATGATATGTTTCTTTATATGCTTTGGATTTGGAGTCATGTATTAGTACAAGGATTAGTACTTATTCTTTTTTCAGTTTTTTTGCATCCACAATTCGTCAATCATATCAAATCATATTCATGATTCAATCTTTATTATTGTTGATCAAGTTAGTATCTCACTTTTATGAACAGACCTGAAGATAGAAGACCCGTCACTTTTATTTAGCTTCTTCAGAAAAAAGAGGACACATCTCCTTAAAATGCTTGAGTCTTGACAATCTTTTTTTGTGGCAATCAAATTCTATATACAGTATCTTGTAGAGCTGGGAATAGGAATAGTCGTTTTATGTTGCTTTAGTGTTTTACAATCTTGCAGGTGTTGTCTGACATTATTAAATGACTTAATCTGTTTGTTGGAAGATTTTTAGGCATTAATAAAACTTCTATGCTCCTCCCCAAAAGATTGATTTATTCCCCAAAAGTTTCTCAAATTTTTTGTTGATTATTGTAATAAATGGCCTTGCCTTTTTTCATACAACATGCTTCACGCTACTGATCTCAGATGAACATTTTATCTTTTTTCAGATGATGGAACATTTTATTTTGATGAGAAATTTGGCGGTGGTCGCGAGCATCAGGGTTCTCTTTCGACATCTTCTTCAGTTGTTCGAGGGATTACATCATTTGCCGCTGTAACTTCTGGAAAAATAGATGTATGTGAACTGTGAAGTGTAAGAGATTGCTCTCTAATTTTTTTTTTATCTGCTAGAATTTTCTGTTTATGCTTTGGTTTTGCATTACCAGCTTCCAGGGGATAAAATATTGGGTTTAGCAAAATATTTTTTAGGCATTGGACTTCCAGGAAGTGGCAAGGACTTCTTCAATCAAATTGAATCATTAGCTCTTCTGGAGAGCAAAAGGCAAGTGCTTTTCAGGAAAAGAATCTATAACTTTAGTACAGCTTTATAGTGGTGTCTTTTTTTCCCTCTTGTTTCTTCTTTGCACATATCTTGATATCTTATTAATATTCAGTAACAAAAATGTGCCTTGAATTTCTTGTTCTGGTGTAGGGTTCCCATCCCATTAGTGCTGTCACTTCCTGCAACAGTTTATTCATTGTCCAAAAAAGATCAGCTCAAGGTAAGCAATGAAGTAAAAGTTTCTAAAATCTTTATTTTAGGAGTGAAATGATTAGTTGATGGTGCACACTGGCTTTCTGTTTTGGGTCCTCAACTACCAAGATTATGTTTTTATCACTTTTTCTATCAAAAATATGTTGGTTGGCACAAATATATTAAAGATTACTGATACAGTTCTCAGTTCCGGTTGGGCTTTCTTTCACAGGATGCTACCAGTTATTATTGGTTCTTTCATTTTCAGAGTCTCCGTTTAAATTCTTCATCTCTTACTCTCCTATGTGCCGTTGTTTTTTATTATATTGTGGAGCTAAATAAACTCTTCCCCCATTTCTTATGTGTTGATTCTTTTACATGCAATACTACATTAGCACCGCATGGATCAGTTATCTGCATTAATAATTTCAGTTTTTTTAATGAATGTGCAGCTTTTCACTTCGGAAAATATGACAGATTTCTATTTCAAATTTAAACAGGTTACGGTGAATACAGTACTTGGTTCAGCTGCACCACCTCTTACTGTTAAGCTTGTTCGAGCTTTCCACACCGATGCTAAAGATTCGGCTGTTATTGAGGGCAAGGTGAGTGACGAGTCAATGATTATTTTCAGGAGTTGGTGTCGTAGAGTAATTTGGTTTATGGGATTCTTTATTAACTTTGGTCTGTTCTACTTTCAATTGTTTGAACATACCTCCCTTATTGTGTTCTACAGGAACTCCAGTACGATCAAAGTAGTGGACTTCATATCATGGGTTTCCCAGATTATGTGGATGTGGGAACATATGTGTTTGTTTTTGAGGTATTATGTTTATTTAGTGATTATTTTTCCTTTCAATACACCAAGGCGTATTTATTTGTATCTGCTTGTTAGTTATATAATGTTTTAAGCCTATTTTGTAGACAGCGCTTCATGATTCTGGTAGTGAAAATGATTATGCTATTGGAGGCCAAATTCACGTGCCAATATATGTCACTGGCATTGTTAAAGTTAGCAATGCAGAAATTGCAGTTCTTGGCAGTGATCTTGGAAGTGATGAAACCCAGAAAATGTAGGTTTCAATTAATGATTTGAAAACATCTCTGCAATTATATTCAGGATCAGTCTACTTAATTATCAATTAGTATGTCTCATTGTCAGGTGTTTGTCATTTTTATTCAGTGTTTGAAGTTCGAGCTGAACACATATACATTTAAATCTTGGATTTATGTTTTTGTTAGCAATTCTATTAATTATGTTTTTATTTCTTCACTTCAATTTAAATCTCTGTTTTGTGTTTCTGTGCAGGCTAGATTTGGCTGGAACTGATGTTGTTTCACTCTCAGCTAACCATCTTCAAAAGTTGCGTTTTTCTTTTCAGTTGACAACGCCTCATGGTCATGCCTTTAAGCCTCGTCAGGTTTGCTGTAGTTGCATTAGACCTTTTAAATGAATGTCATTTCGTTGGTCTCTTCTTTATGAAACACTTGTTCTTCTTCAGGCATTGCTTAAGTTGAAGCATCAGACAAAGTATGAACACATCTTCGTGGTTGGAAATACCGGCAAGAAGTTTGAGATTATTTTCGTTAAGTATCTCCTATTGTGTATTTCATTGTCTAGGTTAACATGTCTATTATCAAATACTTATTTAGTTTGTTACAATTCATAATAAATAGCTATTACCCAATGCTGAAGTCAGGATAATCTGTTTTGGACTTTTGGTGCATAACTGCTATCATTCTGAATATTAGAAATCAAGTGAACTTAAAGTGGTAAAAGTATGTGTATTCTGGTTTTAATACAATGTGTCTTTAACTACTTCTAACAGAGGGTTTATTTATCTATTAAGCTGTAGCTATGCACAATTAAATATAAATCAGCATTCCCTAATTGCTTTTAAGCTGGACTGGGTTTGAGGGCTTATAATTTTGTCACCTGCATGTTTTGGTGAAGACTGTATAGATCATTTCATTCTCATCTACTATTCATATATAGTTTTTGTTTTGCTGAAACTCATAATTTTGTCTTTTAGGATTTTCTTGGCTTGGTGGACAAATTTTATTATCTCTCGGGAAGATATGATATTGAGCTGACCGTTGGTGATGCTGTCATGGTATCTTGCACTCCTTAATTTTGTTAGTTTCCCCTCTCCCCGAAATAGGAAAGGCAATCTGAGCAATTACTATTTATGATTTCAGGAGAACTCTTTCTTGCGGCCACTTGGTCATTTAGAATTAGATCTTCCAGAAGCACCTGAGAAAACAGCGCATCTTCCCCCACTACCTGTCGATCCTTACTCAAGATATGGGCCAAAAGCAGAGATAGCTCACCTGTTTAGGGCTCCTGAAAAGCGACCACCCCAGAATCTCTCTCTTGCTTTTTTGATTGTGACCCTTTTGCCATTCATCGGCTTTTTGGTTGGGGTAAGTTCTGTAATAGTCCTCCCTAGAAAGTGGCACATGTATGCGTGATGCGGTCAAGATAATAGGCCGTGGATGTAATGGAAAAAATAAAATATAAAAAAGTGGAAAAAGAAAGTCCAGTGGAAGGTATCTAGAAATGATGAATTATTTATATTATATGCATTAGCATATAGGTATACTTTGGTTATATATAAGAAGATAGTACAGGGGAGGCCCGATTTTCTTGGTACCTTCCTTATGTGTTGTTGTACTTTTGTAATCACTTGAACAGAGTCATGGTTTAGCTATCTTTTTTCTTCTTATTTGGATTATATCCCTGTATGTTAATTAACTTTTGCCATTATCTTTTACACCATTCACAGCTATTGCGCTTGGGGGTGAACTTCAAGAACTTTCCATCTTCAGCACTACCTGCCTCATATGCCATCCTATTCCAACTTGGCGCTGCCGCAGTTTTATTGCTTTATGTACTTTTCTGGGTGAAGGTATGCCCATTCAGTGTTCCTATTGAACCTGTTTCTGTCAGTTTCTTCTGTTGTGATAACTGTTAGTCCATATAAAGTAGTGGTAATGATTATAGGCAATACCATTATATGATTGACTTGTAGAGCTGGAGTGAATGATCCCTTATTGGTTTTTCAGTTTTTGGTGAAACAAAGTTCAATTTCTATCTCTTATGGCAGAAATGTATTGCTGTTATTCTATATGAAGTGCTTCTCTCTTTGACATATTTGTTTTTGTGCAGCTGGACTTGTTCACTACACTCAAAGCACTAGGGTTTTTGGGAGCTTTTCTGATGTTTGTGGGACATAGAATCCTTTCCCATCTCGCTTCAACATCAGCTAAGCTGAAGTCTGCATGAGTAAAGGGGAGATTATGTAATGTCTATTTATAAAGAATGACACTAATCAAATTTTGTAGGACCTTTGCTGTAGCCTGTTGCAATTTAGAGAACTCGATCATATCAAAAAGAGAAAAGCTTTGTCTTGATCTTGCTTGATCTCGATGAAAACCATAACATGTAGTCTACCTACATGTAATCAGTATCATTCTATACAACATGAAGTGTTTTGCTAGTTGTGTTTTGAGGGTTATCAATTACTATCTACAACGGGGTGAAGTGTTTTTTTACAAGCAGTTTCTTTTTGGTTGTTTTAAGCTGGTTGATCTTTAGACAAGAAAAGCTATTTATGATCATGACCCAAAAACTGAAATTGATAGTACTACCTGTCCCTAACTAGTGATTTCATTTAGAAGAAAAGAAGTTCTCAAATATAAGCACCAGAATAAATTATTAGATACGTTAATTATTTTAAACATTTATTTCCACAAATTTTTGGATATGAAAAATTTAATATTACCTAGCTGTTTTGGTAGTTTTAACTTATAGAAATTATATTAAGTGACACCATTGTGCAACTATACTATTGATTGACCCACCATAATAGAATTTCAGTTTATTTTGTAAGGAGAGTTATCAACCTGAACTTGAGATAGCGGAGTGGCACGGCCAATTTCAAATTGAGATAGTGGATAGTGAGATAGTTGTTAGTTGACTATATTTTAGACTAATTATATGAATAATTTATAAAACATACACGACCAATTTCAAGTTGAGATAGCGGATAGTGGGATAATTGTTAGTTGGCTATATTTTAGACTAATTGTATGAATAATTTATAAAACATATATTTGATGCAAAAACAAATAAATAAAAGTCAAAGAGGAATAGAGTTATTAAATGACTTTTATTTAAAGTAAAGAGAAGAGTGAAGAAAGAAATTTTAAATTGAGATAGTGGATAGTGGGATAATTGTTAGTTGGCTATATGAATAATTTATAAAACATATATTATATTTAATGTAAAATCAAATAAATAAAAGTGAAAGAAGAGGAATAGAGTTATTAAATGACTTTTATTTAAAGTGAAGAGAAGAGTGAAGAAAGAAAGAAAGAAATAAAATAATACAAAAAGAGTAACAAAAAGAAATAAGAAAGAGAAGAAAGAAGAGAAAAGAAAAAGAAAAGAAAAGAAGAAGAGAGAGGTAAAACCTAACTTGAGAAGAAGGAACTTTAGGCGGTGACAAGCGACGTTGTTGTGAAATGTCGTAGACGGAGGCAACCCTAAGTAGAAGATTGTGATGTTAAATATTGTAGACGGAGGCAGCACTAAGTAGAAGATTGTGAGAGGAAAACTCAAAAAGTAGAAGATTGTGAGAGGAAAACTCAAAAAACTGAAGCGATCGTGAGAAGAAGATTGAATCTCGTGCTTTATGTTCTAAGTTAAGGCAAATTGGAAAAATTCCACAAAACTCCTCAAACATTTATTTATTTTAAGGGTAATTCTGGATTTTTGCGTTCAAAACAATTCCAACCCGCTCAAGTCGGGAGTGAAAGTGAGAAAAAATACACAAGAAGGGGGGGGGGGGGTTGAATTGTGTTTTCTGTTTTCTTAATTTGCATTTGATCAGAGTTCAAAATCTAAACTGGTGTTCAGATTCAGATTGATTCTTAGCAGTGAAATGTTAACAAAAGCAAATAAATAATAACAAAAGACATAAAGATTTATACTGATTTCTCTCAAACTGAGAGTAATCCAGTCCCCTTACTTCACAAGAGATTTTCACTATAATCAAATCATGATTAATCGCTTATGCATTCTGGATAAGACTTTTACAATTACTCATAACCAAGGTCCAAAACTTCTGCTTAAGCTCCTCACTCGAGACTTCTTGCTTGGGTTCCACGAACGCAAGACTTCCTTGCTTAGGCCCTCAGCCCAAGACTTTTGCTCAAGTCTCTCGAACCCAAGACTTCTGCTCCAAGCCACTCCTGCTGAGCCTTCTATTCCAAGTCCCATGAAACGAGCCTCCTTGCATGAACCTCATAAACTTAAGACTTACTGCTCTAGTTTCATGTACTAAGCTAACCTGCTCAAGCCACATTTGCTAAAACTTCTGCTTTAGGTCCCCTGAAACGAACCTCCTTGCTTGAACCCCTCAGACTCAAGACTTACTGCTCCAGTTTCATATACCGAGCCGACCTGCTTAAATCACACTGACTCAAGACTTCTGCTCAATCAATACACTTGATTAGGACTTTCACAACTCAAGCACATAATAACTAAAAAAAATTACACAACAACAACCCAACAAATAATTTCATTCATACAAATCAGGAAAATAATAATTGAAATTGCAATAATACCTCAATGAAGCAATAACAAAGCTTGAACAATAATTTTTAATCTTGATGAGATCTTGAATCTTTTAAAATCAGAAAATACTAAGTTAAAATTTAAAACGAAAATTAAAAAAAACTGAAGAAACAATAAGGAGGAAGAAGTGAAATTCATACCTTTGATGCAAAATGAGAACTGAAACGAATGTATATAAATATGTGGAAGTGGGGAGTGAAGAGAAGGTTTGGAAATGGGGAGTGAAGAGGGTTTGGAAATGGCTGGGAGTGAAGAGTGAACAGAGGGTTGGGAAAAACTGAATAAGATTGAGCGTGAGTGAGTCTGCTGGAAGTATGGAAAGGATTTATGTAGGGGACATTGTAACGTGGATACCAATTCGCAGACCAGCCACATGTTTCCCACGTCGCAAAATTGTAACGATCATAATGGTATTCAAACCCATCAATTCCAAGTCAGGGTCATGCATCCAACTTGTTTTTTTTTTAAATTTTACTAGCGATGAGAGAGGCACGTCGCAAGCTAGCCACGTGTTTCCACGTCGCAAAATTGTATCAGTCATAATGGTATCAGACCAATCAATTCCAAGTCAAGGTGATGTTTCCCACTTTTTTTTTTGAATTTTACTAACGATGGGAGAGCCACGTCTCAAACTAGCCATGTGTTTCCCACGTCGCAAATTGGTAACCTTGAAAAATAGTGACGTGGTCAACATGCCACTAGATAAAAGGTTTCAGATCATATAGTCATGTTTCTCACTTGTTGTTTTTTTTTATTTTTGAACTAAGTAGCGACGTGATTTACATGCCACAACTTAAATTCTGAAACATTCAAAATTCCCCCCACTTGATAGCGTAACGTTTTGATTTTTCAGTTTTACTTTTTTATGTTGCGATGTGGAAACCACATCACAACTAATTTTCTTAAAAAAATTCTGACTTTCCCATGTGCAGACGTTAACTCTATTTTTTAATTATTATAAACATTTAGTGACGTGATATACACGTCGCAACCCCCATTTTTGCCACATGTATATCACGTCACTAAATCACGTGGGTAATGACATCTTTTCTTGTAGTGCTAGTACATACCTTATGGGTGGTTCTTATCCTTGGTTCCATGCTCGTGACTTCGAACCCTTGAACCTTGTTTGTGATCTTGTTTGTGGTTGTTGCATAATCATGCACTCATGCGTTCATAAACATCTTATTTCACTCAGTTTTCAAGGAACATAGAGATTCTCTTTGCAAATATCGCAAATATTGTGATTATGGATGTTGGAAGAAGAAACACTCAAAAGTATAGTTTTAGAGCTCCTGATCTTAAAGATTTGAGAAAGATAGCATCCATTGTGATTGATCCCGTGGACTTCAAATCTCATCATGAAAGACTTTTGTCTATTATTTCTACCAATGTTGAAGACAAAATTCTTAATACTCTTGTGCAGTTTTATGATCCTATCTACAAGTGCTTTACTTTTCCAGATTATCAGATGTTTCCCACCTTGGAGGAGTATGCTTATCTTGTAGGTATACCAGTTTCTGACAGAGTTTCCTTTACTGGTTTGGAGGAGTTTCCCAAGTCCCAAGTTATTGTTGCAGCCATTCATTTGAGAAAATCTGATATAGACGCCAATCTTACTATTAAGGGATACATTCAAGGGTTGACTTCTAAATTCCTGATTGAGAGAGCTTCTACTTTTCTTAGTGCTGTTAGTATAATGACTTTTGAGGCTATTCCAACTTTATTTATATATGGAATGGTCTTGTTCCCTAACATTAACAACTTTGTTGATGTTAACGCTATTAAGATCTACTTGATTGGAAATACCGTTCCGAATTTGCTTGGTGATACTTATTTCTCCATCCACCATAGGACTTCTAAGGGAAATAGTACCATTATCTGCATTGCACCTTTGCAGTACGAGTGGTTTATTTCACACTTTCCACAGTCATCTACTTTCAAGTAGAACAAGAGATGTTTGAGGTGGTCTCAGAGGATCATATCCCTTACCAACGCTGATATTACTTGGTATTCTTTTGTATTTGATAGTGTCAAGATCATTTATAGTTGTGGGAACTCTCCAATGTGCCTCTTCTTGGTACACAAGGTGGAATTAATTACAATCCTAGTCTAGCAAGGTATCAGATTGTATGCGCTTTGAAGGATAAACCTAATAATGTTTTGTTAGAGGGTTTGTTTTTCCAAGCGGGAAAAGATACTCATGGTTTGAAAGAGATGATAGCTCATGCTTGACATAACATTCATACGAAGGGAAAAAGAGAGCTTGGAAAACCAAATTATGTAGCTTTGGAACCATATACTTTTTGGGTGAAGGAGAAAGCAAGGGAGTTTAAGACGCCTTGTGTTTTTTAAAAGCCTATGTCTATAGTGGTTGCCACACTGCTTACCATTCCTACTGATGATGTGAAGGAGCTTTAAGATTCCTTAGCCAAGATGAAGTAAGAGAAAGATACATGGGAAGCCAAATTCTATGCTTCAAACCATGAGAAGTTAGACCTGCAGAAGTAGATGAAGGAGAAATATGACTTGATAGAGTTGCTTGAGCAACATGATGTGAAGAGACAAAGAGAGGATTTATTTTCCTCTAGTAATTCATCATCTCATCCTTCTGCCTCAGATGCTTGGAAGAGTATTATGGACCA